AAATGAATGCTGGTTCGAGTCCCAACTGCTCTGCTTCCCAGCCAGTTCCCCACTAAAGCACCTGGCCCAAGTAGTTAGACACCTGTATCCATGTGAGAAACCCAGACGAAGTTCCCAGCTCTTGGCTTCAGCCTGGCCCTGACCGGGAGGTTGCAGTTACTTGGGGGAGTGAAAGAACAGGTGGAAGACTTCCTCTCTCTCTCTCTCTCTCTCTCTCTCTCTCTGCATATGTGTGTGCATACACAGATGTGCAGACATGCCTTTCTCTATAACTCTGCCTTTCAAACAAATAAAAACAAATCTTAAAAATGAAATATGTTGAGCTATATTTAGTTCTTGCAGATTAACTATAGGAAACCTGGCCAAATTTGAATACTGCATGAACAAAATGTTTTAGAGTTTGTGTGCTTTGCATTTTTATTTGGTGAAGTTGGCAATGATAGCTGAGTGACTTCCCAAGTCCTCCATATCACTACTACGGTAGCTGGTTTATTTAAGGTCATTCTTGTCAAGCGCTAGTCACAATTTTTTAACACAGAGGGCTGTTGTGAGTCAATCATCCACAAAGCCCCTGTAAGATAGTACAAGCTCCAGGAAGCATATCCCAGAAGACTAAACTCACCCCAACTCTGGTTCTAAGTTCAGAATCTTCAAGACTACCCTTCATATTGACAATTCACGGGAAGATCTCCTGGAAGTCCCTGAAAGCTGTTACCCACACACTTACAGTTTTTTGTAGCTAAGGAACACAGACAGTAATCAGCAAAGGGAAGGTGCACATAGAGTACAGGAGTATTTCTAACACTGAACTTATTTGTTTCTGTGAAGTCATGGACAGTGCTAACTAACCTAGCATCAACATGTCACTATACAAACAGAACCCTGTCACACAGGGACGCTCTCCCCAGTTCTCATGCTCAGAGTCTACACTGGGTTTCTACCGTCTACCCATGCAACTAACTTCACTTTCCAATCCCTTCGTAAGTCAAGCTAACACCAGGAACTCACTGCCTCCATCTGTAAATCACATCTGGCAGGGTCTAAAGCTTGCAGGTAAACAAAGTCACTCTTACCAGGCAAGAAATTCCAAGGGCTTAGAGATCATCTCCAGTAGCCTAGCAAAATAATCCGATACCCATCCTGTCCCCATTTGGGCAGGGCTCAATTCTTTCCTGCATGGATAGAATTATTCCATATTCCATATCTTATTCAATATTCCATATCTTATTCCTATTTTAAAGATTAAAAAAAAACCTAGGTAGGAAGTGGAATGACCCAGCCACTGCTGTACAACGATTCATTGGCGGAGATGGGATTCACATTCAGAGACATGCTTTCAACAGAGCCTAGTTCACTTCTAACTGTTTCAAATAAAAGATCTGATCCAATTCCCTAAGAACAGAGTCAGACTTATTTTAACAAAATTATTACAATCCATTCACTCATTTAATACCATCAAAGCAGTAGATAAAATGAAAGACCAGACAGGTTACAAGGGAAGAAAGGAGTCACACAGCATGTTAGGAGTCAAGCCAAGACTAGAAGCAATTTCTTATTATGTAGAACTCAACAAAGGCTATATCTGCTCTGTAGATTGAAAAAAAAAAATCAATGGAATGGGAAAGACAAAAGATGGACACAAAGGGAAATATGAAGAAGCAACAGAAGTTTGTCTTTAATTAACAGAAGATGAATAAAAAAATAATGTATATAGAGAGACAGCAGTCAAGGATATCAACAAGCAGAAACTAAATTTCAATTGTTAGGAAAGGTTTTTGGAAATTAGTACTGTATTTTTAAATCTTTATTTGCAGTTACTGCTTGTTTTTTTCTTATTTAGCATATATCATATGTCTTTAGAGAACATATCAATAATGGCCTCCAAAAACAGTATTGTTTTTTCACTGATTCTTGGCTTCTTTATGGTTTTGTTTTTATTAGAAGATGTATTTTTCAAGATAGGAGTGAGGTTGTAAATTATTCCAGAAGTTAAAAAATTGAGGTCATCTCATCTTTTTCCCTCTTGCTTTGAAATATGTTACAACATACAATTACATGAGGATGACATTAACATGTTTAACAACAGAGACATCAACTAATTAGGCTCAGACAGCAAGCAGTCAGTGTAAATTCTGAGAAAAGATCACAGATTTGGATAGATGAGATGGTCAGCATGTGAGCCATGACTCATAACTCGCAGTTAACATGTATTTTGAGTGTGCCACTCTTCTAAAGCAGATTGTCATACTTGGCCCTCCCATTATCCTGTTTTATGGATGCAAACACTGAACCATGAAAGGCTTAAATAGCTGCCCAGTATTTGACAACTAAAACAGCTTCCCCAACATTTCACAGCTATTAACTGGCTACGATGAAACTTTGGTCCAGATCTGGAACTTCAAAATTCATACTACTAATCACACTGCAGCTCCTCATAACATGATAAAAATAATAAATGAATTGGCAATTGGAAAAACTGTCACTATTATTGGGTGGTTTGGATCACTTTGTTTTGGTTAGTTTGGGCTTAATTTTGTTTAAAGTCTCATGAGAAAATTCACAGAGTCATTTGACTTAAATCATCATATTAATTTTGTTCCAAATGAAAGATTTTCCAGCATATTTGATTATCCCACAGCAATTCTATAGATAATATGCCACATATTTACAAGGTAAAAATGAAAAAATAGAAATTAAAAATTAAAATATTTTAATAAAGTATAATTAACAGTTGTGAAGTACTTCTCATCTTTAAAGAAAATGTCTGAATTTTGCTTAATCATTTTTTCAGACTTCTGCGATCGTTTTCATGGGCTTTTCATACAGGAATTCATGGGTGAAGAAGATGATGGGTTGGGGGACCAGGCATCATGGGAGCAACTGCTACCCAAGCACCATCCATCTTTGTGCACTCCGCTCACTGTGATATAACTGAGCTTAGACTGGGGACGGGAAAGAGCAAGTGCAACCAGGGCTTCCTCTGGGGGTGTTAAGGAGATCCACTCCTCCAGATGGGCACAGGTGAAATACAAAGGACAAAACCATTGACATAGAAATGGTTGTTTTCAAACATCGCAAAATTGGGAAGTATTCAATTATGAGGACCTGAACCACCCAACTGTGAATGCCATGATCCCAACAGAGTAAAATCCCTACTGTCGGATGTGGCATTTGGTCTAAGAACTAAACTAACTGTTAAGACTCTCCCAATCCCAAATTGGAGCATCCATGTTGAACTGCCTGCTCAGGCTTCCTATCCCAGCCTCCTGTTCATGCACATCTGAGGAACCAGCATTCAATGGCTCAGTCATCGGCCGCTGACATCACATGGGAGACGACATGGAGTCCCTGGCTTCTAGCTTGGGGCTGGCTCATTCCTGGCTGTCCCAGGCACTTGAAGAGTGAACCAGCAGACTGGAGTGACCTCTCTCTCTCTTACTCCTAGCCCACTCTCTCTTTCTGCATCTCAGATAAAAGTTTACAACAAATCTCTATCTTCTCAGTTTCCCAAAATAAAAAATCTCCAAAGATTAAAAATTGCCAAAACATAGCTCCAAATAAAGCAATAGCATTTCTTTAAGAACACCTACATACATTTTTAAAGGATTTTGATTGGAAAGATATTAAAACATGACCGAACACTTCCCAGGCCACACCACACGGTAAAACAGGCAATTATAGCACATTCTGCAAGCTAAAACATCCCGTTCTACTAATGACAGTTGCAGAGGCATAACAGTTACCAGCATGTGAACTGAATTCACAAAGAAATCAGTCAAAAAGGGCGATGTATAAATGCATATCCCCACACTGATAATTGTATGCACCCAGCTTTAAAACTGCAGTCATAAATGAGTAAAATGTTTCTAAATCTGCGGTCATCTGAAATTATGTGACAGACAGCCTAAATCTTTTGACAAGATCAATCAAAACCCTGGATGGGTCACCATGCAGATGTGGTCATCTTTTGGAAATGTTATATTTTACCAAGGCATATGTACAAAAAGGACATTGTTCACTGGATACATCTGTGTTGCTACTTACATTCACAATGGTGATGCATGATAAGGTGCTTTCATGGAATCAAGTCTACAGAAAATACATAGGAATTAGATCACTCTAAAACTCTTCATACTATTTACACCTCCACTAATTAATTAAGAATTATGCAAAACTGACATACATAGCATGGAGTTGAAAAACAGTGTTGACGCTTAATGTGATGGGAAAAAATTTAAACAAATAAAACCTCAATAGTCTTTCCTTACCCCCTCCCTTACAGCACGAATTGTATTGTTGGAAGTTTTGACTTTGTATTCAAAAGATTGCTTTTCAAGGCTGATTTGCGGGAATGGCATTGAGGCAGCTGGCCAGGTGGCAGCTGGCGATGCAGTGGTTGTCTCCTACGTGAATACCAGAATTCTGACTGTTCCAGCTCCTTGCTAACCCACCTGGGAAGGCAGCAAAAAATGGCTCAAATACTGAGGTCCGTAACACCTATGTGCAAGACTCAGAATGAATCCTGGACTGCTAGATTTGACCTAGTCCAGCCCCAGCTGTTGTGAACATTTGGAAAGTGATCCAGCTAATGAAAAATCTCTCTTTCTCTGTCTCTAACTCTGCCTTATTAATAGTTTGCCAGGATCTCAGAATGTGGGATTATGGGATTCAAGACTGCATCTTTTTTAATGATTATGATCAGCATGCCCAGATTATTTGATGGGGAGACCAGATAAGTCAGCATTTTTCTATTGGTTAGTTTTATACATGATTTATGCCTGAAGTCATTAGGGAAAAAAAATAGTAACAGTCAGTGATATATTAGGAAAAAAATTGGGAATGAGACAGGTTTATTCCATCATAACAATTCTAAATGCTAAAAAAAAAATCTAAGAAGTCAAGTGTTGAATGAATCTGAAGATTTTCCTTTCCCAGTGTTAGTTGACACAATTGTTTACTTGCAAATCAACTATTAAGAACTATTAAAAGAATAAAATAATGTGCTTATTTCAGCAGCACATACGCTAAAATTGGAATGATACATAGAAGATTAACACGGCCCCTGCACAAGATGACATGCAAATCTGTAAAGTTTCCTTAAAAAAAAAAAATAGGATATTTCTATACCACCAGCTGTGAGGGTCCAACTCAATCAGTTATCTGGGTGTTCACCCTGGCAATTAGGGAATAAAATAAGGAGCTTCCAATAGTAAGCTTTTCCTGCAGAGTTGAACGTATTCAGGGGTCATCAGCAATCACTCATCTAGGATTCATGTTTGGACACATGTATGTCAGTAGGCTGAGTTGTAGAGGCTAGCCAAGTTCAACATTAATAACTCATGGATGTATCAGTTCTCAGGTGCGTTGTGTTCACACAGAAGAGCAGCTAATGAGGCTGCCCATCATTGTTTAGGCTCCAGAACCTAAAACCTACCATAAGACCCAAGCTCCGTGAAAATGTTAAGGCTTGCTCTGGAGGACATCGGTTAGCCATTTTCTACAGCTTCTGAAAAAAAAATAGAATATTTTCTTTTTTTATAACAAGGAAATCAGATCAGCATATTCCAGAGAAAGCACATAGTACATGGCTATTTTGGGCAAATGGGCCACCTACACTTTTGTTTAAAAAGTATTCCAGGTCAGAGTCCAGTCCAGTAATCAATTAGAAAAACTGACCCAGAAAAGAAAGATTGCGTTGAGGCCTCATCAACTAAAGGGCAATGATTAAAGTCCTGTACCAACTTTCTGTGGGAATTTGCATATGGAAAATAAAGCTTCTGTGTTCTGGGGTGAGGATGAATGAGCCCCCCTTTTCAGGGACAGATATCATACCAAGCTCCAGCTGCTATAGCAACCCTGACCCAATCAGAAGGAAAGTGAGCTGGTTATAGTCCCATCTGGATTCGGAGACAGCAGTCAATGAACAGAAGCAAACATCACCACCGTATACAGACCCACAGAGTCTTAACAATTGACTTTGGAAATGGTAGAATGATTTTCAAAAGGGACTAAATGTACCATTGGTTCACTTCATATCAATCTTCAAGCAGAAAAATTGTTTTACCCTAAAATGTATCAATTGCTCTGTGTGTGTATTATAGATTTGCTTTATTTATTTGAAAGGCACAGTGAGAGAGAGAGAGAAGCTTCTATCCATGGATTGATCTTCAGCAGCCAGTCTGAAGGCAGGAGCAGAACGCCATCCTCATCTCCCAAATGGACACCAAGGGGCACGACCCACTGCCTTCTCAGCTGCAGTCAGCAGGGGGTAGAAGGGAAGGTGAGGAGCCAGGGCTCGAAGCGCTCATACGCATGATGACATCACAGGCAGCAGCTTAACCCTCTATGCCAAGATGCTTGTCCCATCTTTGGAGTTTAAAGTATGATTTTAAAGTCATTGTGTGTGTGTGTGTGTGTGTGTGTGTGTGTGTGTGTGTGTGTGGCAGAAGTGCTTACTAATCAGGACTGACTTAAAGACCACAACAATGGTTAGCATCGAAGCTGTCACTTCCTTGCACAGCACTATCCTGGAGGGTTAGACTCACTCTACGAATAGCAGCAACGGCTGGGGCTGGATCAGGTCAGAACCGGCAGCTGGAACTCTATCCAGGCCTCCCATGTGGTTGGCAGGGACCCAAGCGATTGATCCATCTTCTGCTGTTTTCCCACGTGCTTTACTAGGGTGTTGGATGTGAGGTGCAGCAGCTGGGACTCAGGCAGTCACGTGGGATGCTGGTCATGCAGGTCACCACTTAGTGCACTGTGCCACAAGGCAGGTGCAACATCCTGAAACTTAAACCTCAATTTCTGCTAACCTTCTAAACTTCTAAACTATCTGTATAAAAATTCACTTTGGCGTAGTATCTTTTCTGCTCCTATATTTTTGTTTTCTAACACAGGTCACTGTTCCATTCCTATGCCAATCATTTGGCAATCAATATTAGCAAATTGGAATTAATTTTTTCATAATTTCATAATGGATCCTCTTTATACTATAAAATACCAATACACGGAAATCAAGAGTGAAGAGATTGAAAATGACAAATGGGAGGTAAGTCTGAGCAGAGGTGCGGCCCAGGTGTCTGGGTCCCCTAGCCACATGGTTCCCAGTTCTCACTAGGGCCGGGACTTTGGGCTGGCCGGGCTGGGCTAGGCTGCAGTTCCCTCCAGTTGAGCTGGCACTTACCAGAAAAGGGCTGGTCAGGTCACAGCACCAACTGTCAAATGCCGAGGGGAGACGGGTTATACATGCCTGACTGGGTCGGAGTACGCAAGCCAACACACATGAGACCCAGGAGAGAGTGTGAATCCAGTATAGGGACTGCAGGGACATCACCTGCTGGGCCAACTATTCACACTGGTGAGCAGGAGAGCTGGGATTGGGGGCAGACAAGGCCAGGCAGGGCTACAAAACCTGTTGGCCTGCATGTAAGCTGGATTGGGGAAAAGCCAGGCTGGGCCGATTCTACCTACTGGTACATGCATAAGCCAGAGGGCATGAGGGTTGATTGGGCTTTGCTGCAGCATCAGCTAGCAGATGCTGGCATAGGGGAGAAAACTCTGTCAAGCTAAACTGCAGTACCACCTGGAGAGTGCAAGATTCAGGAGTGGGAGTGGACCCAGTCAGGAAACATTGGGCACTGCCCACTTGGGTAGCCACTCCAGCTCGTGAGAATATGAACCAGGACTGGGACAGGTATGGCAAGACAGAGAATGACACCCACCAACAAGTGTGTGGACTGGATAATGGGGCTGGTTGGGTGAAACTAGGTTTTAATGCCTAGTGAAACCTATGAGAGCTGAATGGGATGTGGAACAGGCAGGACTAGTATGCTATGCATACTGGCAAGCACAGGAGCCAAGGCAAAAGGCAGGCCTGGTGGGGGCTATTGTGAGTCATTTCTAAGCTACAACTCCCACAGGTTTGATGGGGGCCAGGTTTGCGATGGGCAGGATTGGGCTGGACTGCAACACCCATTAGTTTGTGTAGAAGACAGGGCTGGAGACAACTGACCCAGCAATTGCAACTAACAGTGTGCACGTAGGTCAATTTGGGTGACAGACTGTGCCAGACCCTGTATTGACATGTACATATAAGTATCAGGTTGGGGATCACCTCAGATGAAGTTTCTTTGGGAATCACCCCCCAACTGAACCCCTGGACTCAGCATTCCAACCACAGAAAATTGCAGGTCCCATGGTCTGTCACAGCTGGGTCTCCTCGGTGGCTTAGACAGAGCAGTGGACAGCATATCCAGATGCACCTGGAGGATATGGCAGTACATTGGAGCCTGCAGAGGACACCTGGTACCACAACAGAGGATGGAGGACAGAACAAACCAATCAACTACCCCAGCCAAGAGTTGGCAGTGAATACCTGGGCAAAAGGAGGCTCGAAGGTGGATATGTCAACCAGTGGATTCTGAAGAGATTTCATCATGATTGGAGGAGCAAGACCGGCAGCAATGCAGAACTGTTGAACTATCAAAACCACTTGAGCAGGACCCTTGGAGCATGTCCCACATCGGGGACCCTGGGATGGTTGGGAGGCTGGGTGGGGCTTCTCCCCATATATTTCCCCTCCCGCCAGACACAGCAAGGCAAAAAGAGAATGTCAAAACAGTGACCACACCCACCTTCCTCTAGCCCTTGATCCCTTGACCCTAATCAAATATGTAAGAAGTAACAACAATAAAATTTATACAATAAAAAAAGGGACATGACAAATGGTTAAAGTGATCTACTTTTTCTCAATTAAATCTTAACTTTGCTGTTGTAAAAGGAATAACAAAAAACAGGGCCCAGAGAGCTAGCCTAGTGACTAAAGTCCTCACATTGCATGCACCAGGATCCCATGTGGGTGCCTGTTCATATCCTGGCTGCCCCACTTCGCACCCAGCTCCCTGCTTGTTGCCTGGGAAAGCACTAGAGGACAGCCCGAAGCCTTAGGACCCTGTACCCATGTGGGGGACCCAGAAAAAGTTCCTGGTTCCTGGCTCCTGGCTCCTGGCTTCTGATCGGCTCAGCTCTGGCCATTGTGGCCGCTTCGGGAGTGAATCATTGGATGGAAGATCTTCCTCCCTGTCTCTCCTCCTCTCTGTAAATCTAACTTTCCAATAAACATAAATAACGATTTTTTAAAAGTAATCATAAAACAAAATGAAATCAGCTTATGAGAGAGTTACCTGTACATTCATTTTTGTAGTAGCTCAAATCATAATATGTAAGAAGGGTGATTAAACCAGATGTCTATCAATGAGTAATTGCATAAAGAAAATGTGGTACATATACACTATAGAATACTACTCAGCCACAAAAAATACTTAAATCTCGTCTTTTGCAGCTAAATGGATACAATAGGAAACCATCCTGCTGAGTGAAAGAAGTCTGTCCCCAAAATACAAATATCATACATTCTGACTAATCTGTGACAATACAGAGTACAAAAATGTAGAGTCACATTCTGGGAGTTGCTTTTTGGGTACAATCGGTACTCCTAAGGAACAGTAGGGTTTTTTGCTTACATCTTTTTGTTTGCTTTTGTTTTACTGTTCTTTGTTGTTATTTTCCACCTGCCGTGTGTTGATACCTTGACCTGACAAAATATTAAGCTTGCGGAAAAATTAATTCTAAAAAGCAGTCATAATTACAAACTTACTTAAAAAGAAGAAAATCACAATAGCATACGCTAAGACAATCCTGTTGATATTTTAACCCGTTTGTTGGAGCTGATGATGTGGCCTAGTACGCTAAGCCTCCATCTGCAGTGCAAGCATCCCAGATGGGTGCTGGTTCGAGTCCCAGCTGCTCCACTTCCAAAGCAGCTCCCTATTGATGGCCTGAGAAATAGTCTCGTGTTGTTAGATTCCATGGGGAGACCCAGAAGAAATGCTGGCTCCTGGCTTTGGATCGGCCCAGCTCTAGCTGTTGCAGCCATTGGGGGAATGAACCAGGGGATGGAAGATCCCTTTGTCTTACCCTCTTTCTGTAAAAATAAATAAAACTGTATTTTAAAGTCTTTATTTCTTGAATTATATCTCTTTAAACACTTTGTCACTTTCTAAAGTTGTGTTATGTATATTTTATGTATTATACATATTCTTTGT